TTCTCTGGCATGAAAGGAACCCATTTACCATGAATGATGTTTATTTAAAATAAAACCTTTCTGCAGAATCATACTAGCTAATCTAAGAATACAACGTGAACCTAAATGGGATGGTTTCTACTTTGCAAACAGGGCTGGGTTTGATCAGCAACTTCATATTCTCAAGACCCTCTTGATGGGCCTGCAGCTGCAGCCATTTATGGGCTGCCTTCTTCACAGATAGAGGCAGAGAACGCGCCATGCTTTTTGTCTTTTTCTTGTTGGACTTGTTCTCTTTAATGTAAAAAGGTGGCAACTTTAAAAAAAAAAAAAAGTTCTCAGTTTTGTGGTAGAAACTTGTGGATATTTAGCCATCCTTGGTAGTCTCCATTGCTGAAAGGACTATCACTTTTAAAAACAGAAGATCACAAAGTTGGCACAAACGAGATATAAGTAACAGAAGGTGATCATTTGCATTTCAAAATTTATCTATCTTGCTTTTCCCCTCAATTAGACCAAAACATGTTGATTCACAGGTTTCCGTGTGTGTGTGTGTGTGTGTGTGTGTTTCTTTTTTTTTTCCTCTCTCTTTTTTCTTTTTTAAACTTATTTATAGAGCAGAATAATGGCCCCCCTGCTAGTTTGGCATTTGCTCAAGTTTCTGTCCATGTAAATGGAAGCTGTTACTGGAAACTTTTCTCAAAATATAAAGGCACATCAACCACAAGATAAAAAGATACACTGCTGCTACTATAAAGTACAGGGCAGGTGGATCATGTTTTTAGGACAAACATGTGTGTGATAAGGATTCCCAGGAGGGAGAGGTGGGAGAGGTAGAAGTTGCATGCTGTTTAAACAGAAGAGAACGGTTCTCATCATAATCTTGTGACAACTTTACTTTCTAACCAAACATCAGCTGCTTAGCATACTTTAAAGTTACTTGGACAATAATATTAAGGTTTGAATTGGGAAGTGGGCAGGAAGGGGGAAGTATGGGGGAAGGATCATTATTTCAGTCCCTTAGGAGATTACAAGATAGTTAGGTACGCCATGTTCCCATGTATTCATTTGTGATTTCTGAAGCACTGAAATATTAGTACGTAGCTCATCCTCCTGGAAAAGAGGAGAAAAGACTACCAGTAGTATTCATCAATAGTACTGTCATTCAGTTTTGAGATCAATAGTAATTTATACTGCTTTGTTCTAAACCCTTGCACTAAAAGCAGGATGCGGGTGGGAGGTACACTTAACTGACACCGTTAACACTCTAGGTTTTGAGATTATCTAAACTAGAACATTAACATAAAACTTTACTGGTTTTGTTTTACCTTGTTAATAACACAAATTCATATGGAGGGGCTTTCCACATTTTTCAATCAATACCAGAACACTTTTGCAACTCAAAAAGTTCGACAGTATAATTATTTTGTGCAAACAATTACAACAAAGCCCTTCTTCAACTACAGCTTTTACCAAATGTGAGTGAAGGACAACCTAGAAAATGACAGCAAAAATCCATTAATGGTAGACTGCCACCTGCTGGTAAACTATGAAATTTATGATTTCAAGGAAAAAAATGCTTAAAAATTGGAATTCAGAAATCGACCTTAGATTCATTATTCACGTACACAAAACTGGAACTATGTATCTGTTGGTGACTGTAGTGTGGCTTTGTTCCTAATCTATGAAAGTCACATGCTATAAATGCTAAAGGCAACATGACAGTGCTTTACAGTGAAAAGAAAATAAAATGCTGAAGTTTAGCAACAATAAAAGTAGGATGAGGCTTTGAGACATCTGTGGAAAAAGATGAAAAGATCATGGAATTTTCCCACAAAAGTTTTGAAGACCCCTTATAGAAAATAGTCATTTAAAAAAACTAAGCATTTATTTTGCTGTGTGGTTTATACTTGATATTTAACAGATTTTTTTTTACTCAAAAGAATCCCCAAATTTAATTTTGATCCTAAAACCTCCCAATTCATTATATTAACATATGCATTTATGTACACTGGTAGCCAAAATGTACTTTTTAAAATAAAATTATTCCAGTGGGGGAAGCAGATAACTATTTTAAAGTTATTCCACTATGAAATAGTTGTTGTTGTTAATTGCTGTTGAGTTGGGTCTGACTCCTAGTGACCCTGCACAGGGTTTCCAAGGAGCAGCTGATGGGTTTGAATCACCAATCTTGTGGTTCACAGTCCAGGGCTTATCCTATAGGGCTATACCAGGAGTCCACTATTAAACTGTTAAGTACCGTCGAGTTGGTTCCAACTCGTAGCAACCCTGTGTAGGGTTTCCAACTAATAAGGTTTCAAGAAACAGCATATTATCTATTTAAAAGAAATAAAGAATGTAGGCATGCTCCATTGCACTTGAGAATAAATAAAATCAAGTGATCCTAATTTGGGGTAAAGAGAGGAGAGAAAGAATACATCAGAAAAGCAAAAATGCAAATAGCTGTTTTCAGGTTGAAAAACTGCTGTTTTCCAAAACAGAAATCATTCATAAAATTTAAAGTTGTAGGTAAAAACAATACAGCTCTTCGGATCATAATTACAGTTATTCCCCACTATGGAGTGACACAATGTTAGTATCAGTAACATACTGGTTAGATGTTGTTGTTAGGTGCCATCCACTCAGTTCCAACTCACAGTAATACAACAGAATCATCCTCACGATCTCTTCTAGTATGTTTGAGTCCATTGTTGGAGCCACTGTATGGATTCTTCTCACCAAGGGTCTTCCTCTTTTTCAGTAACCCTCTCTATGATGTGTGATGGAGCATGTTGTCCTTCTCCAGGGATTGGTCCCTCCTGATAACATGTCCAAAGTACATGAGACCAAGTATTGCCATCCTTGCTTACTATGCTGGTTAGATGGTGATGGTGGTTGTGAGCCGTGCAGTCGATCCAGACCCTTAGGGACCCTGGATAGGGTTTCCGAGGCTGTAAATCTTTAAGGGAGAAGAAAGCCTCAACTTTCTCCCGTGGGACAGCTAGTAGTTTTGAACTGCTGACCTTGAGGCTAGTAGCCAGATTAATAATCACTATGCTACCAGATCAACTGTCAACACTTGTGGAAGCAGCAGTCAAGAGATCAGACGACGTATTGCATTGGGCAAATCTGCTGCACAGGAACTTTTAAAGTGTTGAAGAGCAGAGATGTCAGCTTGAGGACTAAGGTGCGCCTGACCCAAGCCATGGTATTTACAATAGCCTCATATGGATGCGAAACCTGGACAGTGAATAAGGAAGATTGTAGACGAATTGATGCCTTTGAGTTGTGGTGTTGGAGGAGAATACTGTAAGTGCCATGGACTGCCAAAAGAACCAATAGATCTGTTTTGGATGAAGGGCAGTCAGAGTGTTCTTTGGAGGCCAAGATGGCTAAGCTTCGTCTCTTATACTTTGGACATATTGTCAGGAGGGAACAGTCGCTGAAGAAGGATGTCATGCTGGGTAAGGTGGAGGGTCAGAGAAAAAGAGGAAGACCACCAATGAGATGGATCAGCCAGGTGGCATCATTGATGGCATCAAGTGTAGCAGCGGTAGTGAGGTTGGCCCAGGATCGGACATTGTTTCGTTCTGCTGTGCATGAGGTCGCTATGCGACGGTTCCAACTCGATGGCACCTGACAACAACAACAATGCTACCAGAGCTCCCTGCTCATTAAATAGTAAGCATTAAAAACTATATCGATCAATAACTAAGCCTATCACATCAACATAATCAGCTCTTTTGAAAGTCAGTGGGGTGACGTAACTTTAGCCACACAAAGAGGCTGCATGCTAGATAAAAGATGAAGGAACTTTTGGTTTAAATATGGTCCAATCTGCACCAGTAACAGAAAAGAAACTAACTCAGATCCAAAGTATATGCTTAAGCTACCTTTGTTGTTAAGTGCTCTGACTCATAGCGACCTTGGTTTCTGAGGAACAGCTGGTGGGTTGCAGTTCAAACTGATGCTGCGGTCCAGTGCTTACCCTCCAGAGTCATACCAGGACTCCAAGCTACCATTGCTGTTGTTGTTATTAAATGCTGTTGAGTTGGTTCCGAATCAGAGCAACCTGTGTAAGGTTTCCAAGGAGGAGCTAGTGGGTTTGAACTGCTGACTTTGGGGTTTGCAGTCTTGTGCTGATTCTACAGTGCCACACCAGGAGTCCAAAGCTCCCTATAATCATTAGCAAAGATGCTAACACAACCAGAAATGAATCTCTAGTTAAAAATAAAGACAACACAGTAAGTGTACACGAAACCTGCTGTGTCAAATAGTTGGCTTGAAAGGATATCTTAAGAGCACGCTTTCTCAATTTTCTCAAACCCAGAACATAGCTCCTCACTTTAATTACAAACATGGTTATTGTTGTGTGGCATTGAGTCAGTTCTGTTTGATAGCAAAACTGTTTAGGATTTCCAATACTGTGAATCTTTGCATGAGCAGAAAGCCTCATCTTTCTCCCGGAGTCACAGACATTGCATTTTGTTTTTTGTTTTTTTAAAGCATTTCATGTATTTTTAACCTTAGCGATTTTTTCCTTTTAGTCAGCTACCTGTAACATCTCAATAAAATTAATCATTTAAAGTGGTTTAAGGTATCTAAAGATTTAAAGGTCTTTCTAAACACAAAAAAATATTTCTAAAGGAATTCATTGTCAGTTTTATGTGAAATATAAACCCACTTAATGGCAACAACAGCAATGCATGTAAGTGTCTGTGTGTGTGCACATACAAAGAGACTTAAAAAAGTTCATGGAAAAATGCAATTAAAAGATCATGGAATTCTTCCAAGAACTTTTTAAAGCCCCCGTGTATACCCATGCAAACACACACACATATATGAATATATGTTTGTGGATTAAATGATGGTTTCTTCCATCAAATTTTTTTTTGAAGGGTTAAAGAGATAACTCAAACCAACCCATATGTGAACTGCTGGTGAAAAACACAACTTCTACAGAGACACAAGAGCTGCCATGCTACTTTTCCAAGTGAAACATCGCAGGAGATTGCTCTAACCTGGGGCACAGTACATCCTCTCTACGGCATCGCTGTCACAGGAATCTTCAACCTCACTCCACCTGCTAAAATACGTTAGCTGAATGTGTCCTAAAAACAAAACGACAGGAGAAATCAAAACATTTTTCTCTTCCATTTTCTGCAGAAGTGAACTGTAATTACTCCTTTTGTAGCTAAAAACAGTATCATTAAGAATAATGGCATCATTAAGTACTAGAAGCTATTACTGGGGGTGAATTTGCTGCACTGATAATGAAGCTCTAGACAGGAAATGAAGATACTAATTACAAGATAAAACGCCTACTCAGTTAATTGGAAGCAACAGCGAATAAAAAGAAATGCATTTGCGAAAGTTCCTGACCTCTATCATTCAATAAGATGTTGTTTGGGTTCAAATCGCGGCACACAATCCCCTCTCTATGTAAAGCGTCAAGGGCTACCACCATTTCAGCTGCCCATCTTTGAATGCAGTCCTCTGGGATGTAAAATCTGGAGCTTAGTGCTAATTTTTTATCGAGGTCCTCAAAAATCTGGTGTATTTCCTTGTCACCTTCTAGTGCCAACCCACTCTCTCTCGTGGTCTGGGAGTCTCTCTGGTATAAAGAGGTTGGCTCCTCTTTGGTCAAATCATCAGTATGATCTGTAAACAGCAATACTTCTTCTGTTTTTAAAGTGTCTGCATTTGTTTCATTTTTATTGGCACCTGAGAGTGGGTTAGAAATGGGGGAAAAGGTTTCTTCTGCGTTGTTTACAGTTAGTGCTGACCCAATCACTCCAAGTCCTTGAAACTTTGGATCTGAGCTTTGTAACAGAGTTATGTCTCCTGAGCAGCTACTATCAACAGTTGCTACAAACAACGTCCTAAGATCCTCCTGTGTATAGTGTTTCTCCGTTGTACTGTGGGATTTGGGCCTATGAGGACCACCACTCAACTCCTCAGTTCCTTTTTCTTCCAGTGCTTGGCATTGTTCAGTACTAAGCCTGAGGCATAAAACATCGGGGGCTTCCAATAGTTTACTTTCTAAAACGCTGATGTTAGCTTGTGTAAACTTAGTAGGTCCCATTGCTGCAGTTTCTTTTGTTGGCTCCAATTCGCCAGGAAGATTTACAAGAAGATCAGGCCTTCCTTCATCAGTACCACTGACATCATCAAAAGCAGCATCTTTGAAAGAAATAACTGGGACTGAGTCATTTGAGCTTCGGCTGATGGTGTCCTGAGCTTTAAATTCCGCCTTGTTCTCACCCGTCTTGAAACTCCTAGAAGTGCTGTCCCCATCTGGAACAGGGAAGAATGGTTTCAAGGGTTCTGATTTTAGGCAGTACAATTTTTCTCCAAAGTCAAGTCCCTGGAGTTCACTAGTGCTATCCTTACTGTCTATCCTGAAGAATTCCATAGGGCTAGTTTTATATCTACTGAGGGAATCAGATGTTCTTGGAGAACGAACTGCTTCTGGGTGGTCCTCTTCAGGGAAGAGCTTCAGCTCGTGAGATACAAGCTGTGGGCTGGGGCTGTCAGAGTTGGCAGCAAGAGGTGCTGCGAAGCGGTCAACAGCCTTGGCATCTTGAGTCTTCATAAAGGGCTCCTCATTTAAAGTCCCTGGTTCAATCTTTTCTTGCCCGTATTCATTGCATAATGTTAGATAACTCGTAGTGCATTCTTCTTCTGAACTTGAACCAGAGTCTGGCCATTTTGGAGAGCTATCTTGGCCGTCATCTTCCTGGATGCTATCATCTTGAGAGCTTGGAGTAAGACTAGCCTTCAAAGGCAGAGCTTTAAGTATGCTTCCACCATCACTTCCTCTAGATTCGAAACTGCTGCTGTCCTGAGGACTAGGAGTTGGTTTTTGCAAGTGAACTTTAGTAAGTGTAGATTTTTTCACTTCTTGGATATCAAAGCTTTCTTCAGGACTCCGGTTCAGAAACTTACTGATATATGACCAGAGTTTGCCACCTGTGAACAAGTACAAAAAAAAAAAGAAAAACACTTTAAATCCCTAAAATATTTACTTATTTAAACCATTACAAAAAGCAAGAGGTATTCTAATAACCAATCAAAAACAGGACAATAATACCATTAATATCAAGAGTGCTATTTTAAAAAAGCATACAAGGGGCTTCAAAAAGGAATGAAAAATAATGGAATTTTTTTAGGAACATTTTGAAGCAGTATTGAACTGCGAACCACAAGGTCAGCAGTTCAAACCCACCAGCTGCTCCTTGGAAAACCTACAGAGGGTCACTATGTGTTGAGACAGACTCAAAGGCACACGACAAAAACAACAACAATAGTATTTAATAAGATGCCATTGTTGTCATTGCTAACTGCTAGTATGGGGTTCAATCATATCTCCTGAAATTAATTATTGTTTAAATGGCAACCTATTTCTTCATTTTAAGGGAAATTAGTTATAACAAATGCTAACATGAAATGAGTTGGAACTGACTCGATGGCACTTAACAATAACAACAACAACAGAAAACATGAAATGAAATCTGGCAGCTCTGATTCTGCATTAAACTTAAATATAATCTAGTCATAGAAACATCTGATTGTGTTCTGATCTGTTTACATAATTTTTTTCAAGTATGGTCCCAGTCAAGTGGAAACACATAAATAAGTGCTGTTTAAAATTATAGTGGGGAAAAATCAGCAATATTATTCAATTTTGAAAATGTCCAGTTGAGGACTGGAGTAGAGGTATGGCATCTGCTATGTAATTTTATGTCTTTATAAATGACATTAATAATATTTCCCCATTTTCTTTCCCTCTTCACACACATCATCCGTTGTATAAAACCAAGTAAAGTCCATTAATGAGACAGACTACTGCAATATATATCAGAAATCTGCAGACTAAAATATACAAATTAATCCATATAATATTCCAGTTTTTCACCAGCAATAACTGTTACATAGTTATTTTGCCATATATTTTTGTTGTTGTTTAAAATCTTAACCCCTTCCAGCCATTAAGATCTTTAATTAAATAAACATAATACATATCCAAAACCTACCACACTTCCAATGACCAGAAACAATATTACAAAAAGAAAGAATATGATCCATAAATCTTTAAAACAACAACTGAGGAAATATACTTTGTGAAGATATAATTATAGCTTCCAAAAATGATAAACTATGAATAATGGGTTAAAAATAAATTTCTCTACTGATATGGAAAAGAGAAAATTTTCAGTGTATTTTAAAATTTCATTATTAACCTTCAAAAACAAAGGATAGTGAAATCTTAAGAGACGAATGCTTGACAATCAATTAAATGTGTAAAAAGTACATGGAAGCATCCAAAATATCTTTGTCAAATTCCATTTAATCTCAGAGGAAAAATTCGAAGACATTCAATGATAACATAAAGTGCCTGGTACTTCTCTAGAATACAGTAAATGCTAAATAAAGGGCAATTTTCATAATATTCATCCAAGGATTCTCCTACATCTCTTTCTCAATGACCTGGGAAGCAGTGCCACAATTCTGATACTAGTCAGTAGTATAGGGCATTATAAATTTTAACTTTCTAATTTTTTCTTCCATTACTTGTCTGGTCAGTTTGTCGTACTGTGGTGGCTTATGTGTTGCTGTGATTCTGGAAGGTATGCCATGGATATTTTAAATACCAGCAGGGTCACTCATGGTGGACAGGTTTCAGATGAGCTTCCCAACGAAGACAGACTAGGAAGAAAGAGAAATGGTTTACTTCTGAATATTTAGTCACTGAAACCTTATGAACAGCAGAGGAACACTGTCAGCACCAGAATATGCAATATTGAAAAACGATGAAGAGCACCAGAATATTATCAGATATAGTGCCAGAAGATGAGCCCCTCAGGTTGGAAGGCACTCAAAATACGACTGGGAAAGAGCTACCTCCTCAAAGTAGAGTTGACTGTGATGACACGAATGGAGTAAAGCTGATGGGGCACAACTCAAAATGAAGAGGAACAGCTGTAAACATCCATTAATAATTAGAATATGGAATGTAAAAAGAATAAATATAGGAAAATAGGAAATTGTAAAAAATGAAATGGAACATACAAACATTAATATCCCAGGCAATAGTGAGCTAAAATGGACTGGTATTGGTCATTTTGAATTTAACAATCACATGGTTTACTATGTCAGGAATGAGAAACTGAAGAGGAATGGCATCACAATCATCACCAAAAAGAGCAAGCATATCAACATCAGTCATGAGGTACAACACTGTGATAGGATAATATTCATATGCCTACAAGGAAGATCAGTTAATAACACTATTATTCAAATTTATGTACCAACCACTAAAGCCAGTGATGATGAAACTGAAGAATTCTACGAACTTCTTGAGTTTGAAATTGGTCAAACATGCAGTCAAGATGTATTGATAATTACTGGCAATTGGAATACAAAGGTTGGAAGCAAAGAGGAAAGGATCAGTGGTTAGAAAATATGACCTTGGAGACAGAAATTATGCTGGAGATCACAAGATAGATTTTTGCAAGACCAATGACTTCTTCATTGCAAAGACCTTTTGTAAACAAAATAAAAGACAACTATACACATGGACCTCACCAGATGGAATATACAGAAATCAAACTGCTACATCTGTGAAAATAAATGATGGAAAAGCTCCGTATCATCAGCCAAAACAAGACCGGGGCAGACTGTGGAACAGACCATTAATTCCTCATCTGAAAATTCAGTCTGAAGCTGAATAAAATTAAAATGAATCCACGAAAGCCAAAATATGACCTTGAATATATCCCACATGAATTTAGAGATTATCTGAAGAACAGATTTGGTGCATTAGACATTAAAGAAAAAAGAACACAAGAGTTGTGGGATAACATTAAGAACATCATACAGGAAGAAAGCAAAAGGTCATTAAGAAGACAAGAAAGAAAAGACCAGAATGGATGTCAGAAGAGACTCTGAAACTTGCTCTCCAGCACAGAGACACTAAAGCAAATGGAAGAAGTCAGGAGATACAACAGCTGAACAGAAAATTTAAAAGGTCAGCTCAAGAAGACAAAGTCAAATATTATAGTGAAATGTGCAAACACCTTCCTGGAGTTGAAAACCAAAAGGGAAGAACATACTCAGCATTTCTCAAGCTGAAGGAACTGAACAAAAAATACAAACCTCAACTTGCGGTATTGGAGGATTCTACAGGAAAATTATTGAATGATGCAGAAAGCATCAAAAGAAGATAGAAGGAATACACAGAGTCACTGTACCAAAAACAAATGGTCGATGTTCAACCATTTCAAGAGGTAGTATATGATCAAGAGCCAATGATCCTGAAGGAGGCAGTCCAAGGAGCACTGAAGGAAGTGGCAAAGAACAAGCCACTAGGAATTGATGGAATACAAATTGAAATCTTTCAACAAACTGATGCAGCACTGGAGGCACTCATTCATCTATGCCAAGAAATTTGGAAGACAGCTACCTGGTCAACTGACTGGAAAAGATCCATATTTGTGCCCATTCCAAACAGAGTGACCCAATGGACTGTGGAAATCATCAACCAGTATCATTGACACCCCATGAGAGTAAAGTTTTGCTAAAGGTAATTCAAAAACAGCTGCAACCATACATTGACAGAGAACTTCCAGAGGTTCAAGCCAGATTCAGAAGAGGATATGGAAAAGGGTATATCACTGCTGACATCAGATAGATCTTGGCTGAAAACAGAGATCGTTTACCTGTGCTTTATTGACTATGCAAAGGCTTTCAACTGAGTGGATCATAAACTATGGACAACATTTTGGAGAATAAGTATTCTGGAACACTTAATTGTGCTCATGAGGAACCTGTACATAGACAAAGAGGCAGTTGTTCAAACAGAACAAGGGAACATCTTAGGAAAGGTATGTGCCAGGGTTACGGTCTTTCATCATACTTATTCAAACTGTATGCTAAGCACATAATCTGAGAAACTGGATTATGTGAAGAAAAACACGGCATCAGGATAGGAGGAAGACTCATTAATAACCTCTGATACGCAGATAATACAACTCTGCTTGCTGAAAATGAAGACTTAAAATACTTACTGATGAAGATCAAAGATCATAGCCTTTGGTATGGGTAGCATCTCAATGTAAAGAATACAAAAATCCTCACCAATGGACCATTAAAAACATTCATATCAACTGAGAAAAGACTGAAATTGTCAAAGATTTCATTTTGCTCAGATCAACCATGGAAGCAGCAGTAAAGTAATCAAATGACACATTGCATTAAGGAAATCTGCTGCACATGACCTCTTTAAAGTGCCGAAAAGCAAAAATGTCAGCTTGAGGACTAAGGTGCACCTGACCCAAGCCATGGTATTTTCAGTAATCTCAGATGCATACATAAATTGGGACAGTGAATAAGGAAGACTACAGAACTGATACATTTGAGTTATGGTGTTGGAGGAGAATACTGAAAGCGCCATGGGCTGCCAAAAGAACCAACAGATCTGTGCTGGAAGAAGTGCAACCAGAGTGCCCCTTGGAGGCCAGGATGGCCAGAATTCATCTCTGATACTTTAGACATATTATCAGGAAGGTCCAGTCACTGGAGAAGGATTATCATGTTTGGTAAAGTGGAGGGTCAGAGAAAGAGAAGAAGACCCCCAATGAGATGAATTGGCACAAGGGTAGCAGAAATGGGCTCAGACGTAGTACTGATTGTGAGGTTGACCCAGGACTGGGCAGTGTTTTTTTCTGTTGTGCAGAGTCGGTACCAACTTGATGGTACCTAACAACAACAATTTTTTTCTTGGCTAATATTTTCTTTCCTCTTTGGGTTGTTTGCCCATATTCAAAGTAAAGTTTAAGAGTTAATATATGCCTTTGAAATTCACTTACTCCCATGAGGACTTAAATATCAGTTCTATCTTTTTTTCATCTTTTGACAACAGTAACTGAAGTCCTCTCTAAATAATCTCATCCCAAATAGTCAAACAATGA